TTTGTCCCATCCCCATAAAAGAAACGTTGTGCAAACTACAGTAATGAGGATGAGAGAGAGTTTTGTAGCCCTCAGCCTCAAAATACTCCCCTTCATCCTCGCATTCACGTCACTAAATCGTCTTGCCAAGAACAGAATCGACCCATTAACTAGCTAGGATCACCCAGATGAATACTGAAACAACACATGTATCCCCAATCATTATTTTTGTTATCGTACAAAATGACACCATTACTATTCTACCTGACCATATTCAATTGGAATAGAAATTTGAAAATGCACAACACATCTAAGTGGCTAAATCCTACAAAATTAAAATCCCAATCCATTAGTTAGGAAATGTTCGTTATCATTGTGAGTTTTCAGTATTTAACTTGAAATCAAATCCATAGTTTCTAGTTTCTGTCGCCGATATTCAAATTTAACATGATTGGTATGAATAGTAGACTAATTTTAACTTCATAATACACCTTACATCATAATCTAAGCAAGTTCTGAAATCTCAAAACTGAAAACTCGCAGAAATTCCGAACAAACCCTAAACATCGAATTCTTGTTACAACATTTTACTAATTCTATAATTCAAGTAATGTATGCTGGCATAAGTTTGCATCATATAGCATGGATTACTTCCAGAGTTTCAAATGTACAACAACAAATTTAAAAACTTAACACCAACTAATTATAATGATAAACGCAACATTTGCATAGTAAACACTAAATTAATCCTTCACTCTTAATTTCTTCTAACTTAGCAACTTGATTAGTGAACTAATCAAAAATCAACTTAACTTCCACGATTCAAAAAACGAAAAAAAACAAGGGTCAATAAAAAAAAATTCACAAATCACCAAAAGATTAACAAGAATTTGAATAAAAACATGATAATCAAAGAAAAATTAAAACTAATAAATCAATTTTGGATCTAATGACTCAAAAAAGAAATCAAATTATACTGAAAAAATCAATTAAAATCGTTACAATTAGCAGATAATACAACTACATTGATCATCTAGATATAATCGGTAAAATCAAAGTAAAAGCAATACAAATTAACCAAAAGAAAGAGAGTAAAATACCTAAAAGCGAGGAATTCTGGGAGATCGAAGTTTGGAGAATGAAGAAGTAAGGAGCAAAGAGAATTGAAGGAGGAGAGAGAAAATGCGGGATGTCAGAAATTGAAAGTTTCCTTTGAGTTTCGTCGTTTCGATCAAAGAAGGTGAGGTAAGCAACAGAAAGATTCAAATAAAGATCATTTTTCTACTGATTTTTATTGTTCCTTTATCTTTGTCATCGTACTACTTAATTAGGATTAAAATCTACTCGTATTTAATTATTCAGATTGTAGTCGGTAATCTTGATGTATTAGCCCTATTAGGTAGTTAGGTGCAGTACAATTTTGGATTTTGTGATTGTGAAATAATTGGAAGTTTGGAACCACTTTGTACTTATTAACAAAGATAACCTAAGAGGATCAACTTAATTTAGCTTTATAAATAATGTTGAAAAATTACAAATTGCTAGACAATATGAAAATACATTCATTAAAACAATATGAAAACAAAGATTCATTTATCTAGTCTTAGCTTAGGTATTTTGAACTACAAAGGGTTATTCCATTTGTTCTAAGGGGGTGTTTGGTACGGGATTTTTGTAGGCTTGGAAACGGAATCAGATACCGTTTCCGTTAGAATCCGTTTGGTTGAGGAGTATAGTAACAAATCACGAAACCCATTCCACTACTTTGTTTCCGGTAGAAAAACTGGAGAAACAATTAACGTTTCTCTCCTCTAACCCCAAAAACACACAACAGCCTCTTCTCTCAAAGAAATGTCGAAACCCTAGATTTCGCTCAACGTATGCAGATTTCGTTCCCAAATTATCGAAGCTCTAGATTTCGCTCAAGTTAGGTATGTTATCTCAAAACCCTAGATTTTGAATTGTTGCTGAATTTATAAATCTTTCTATTTGATTGATTGTATATTTTGATTTTTCTATCTCGAAATACATGATTGATTGCAATATTATTTGAGTTTTTATCTATATTTTTGTTTGAATGTTTGATCTATTTATTGATTGCTATTTTCGATTTATGGTGTTAATTTCTAGAGTTTTTTTCCCTAATTTTTCTGATTTATTTGAGTTTTAAATTTTTCAATTGAATTTTTTGCTTTTTGCTTCATGATATTGCGGTGTTACAGAAGTGAAACCACACGATTTGAGTCGTTGAAGTTTTGATACCATGATTTGAAATACATGTCATAAATCTCATAATCATTGTAGAAGCCAAAATTCTGCAATGCCAGAATACCAGAGTCGTAGCACTAGAATATCAGATTTACAGCAACAACATTAGAGATATGAGTAATTTCAATTGTTAATAATAAGATTTATGAAAATGAAAGGATGTGCAGAATCTGGAGGTTGCCCAACTGACTATGTTGCTGTTTCTGTATCTTCCCTTTCTTTTTTTCTGTATGCTCTAACTTTTCCCCTTTTATCAATTACATCATTTTTGTATTAGTTGTAATTAGTTCATCAATTTTAATTTTAACCCTTTTAATAATATCATTTTTGCTTTAATGGGTCAATGATTCTTGCTTGTTTGTGCTAATTTAACTTAATTATATGGACCTGTAAAATGTGCTTCACTAAATACTGTTTTTGATTAGTTTTTTCTGAGTTTTTTTTGGGGGATTTTGGGTTAATCTTATGCTAAAAGTTGATGGGTTACTTATCAATTGGTTTGGTTATTGCTGGTTAATTTCTAGTCTCTAGGGTAATGCTACTTTGGACTATCCAATTTTCTCATTCAGTTAATAACATTTATTGATCTTATCTGAAATTATTGTTAAATCTACTGTCTGTTGGGTGTATGTGTTGTCTTTGCTATGTAATGATAGCAATAACAGATTTAGCAAATCAGCTTGATGGATTTGGTTCTTCTTATTAGGACTAACTAATTAAGTATTATTGACAATTATGCTCTTTCTGGTATTTTCCAGACTTGATACTCTTGACTAATTGATTAAAAAAAAAAAACCATTTACAATTGACAATAGTCCGCACCACTACTTTTCGATCCTTCATGCATGTATATACTCATGTTAGATTTACCTCTCAAGAAGTGGACCTCTTAAAGTAAATTTACCTATCTATATAATAATAATGGCCTAGCCTATCCAAAGAAATTAACACACTTTATTTCTTACAATATGGTGTATAATGGTACCTTACAGTAAACATCTACTTACTAATTTCTCAACTTTTAGCTGGACCAACTCGATTCTTCAGTTTTCGATCATTGTTTCGTGCTAGTATTATTGACAATTATGCTCTTTCATATTTTCATTGGCAATAATAGAGCATCTTATCTATTTCTGTTGAATGTTTAGATATAAGCTGCATGATTTTGTTGTAGCACTAGAATCTTATCTTTTTCTATTGAATGTATTTTTAAGGTTCTTGAAATGGCTCGTATTGGGAAAAGAAGAAGAGCAAAACAAGTTCAATTGGTTATTACAATGATTATTGTAGTTTTTATGCTGTTTTGGATTTGGTATTTGATGAGCGTTGTTACAATTAGAGGGGCTCAAATAAATGAAAGGAAAAGGAATAGGAAATTGTTACGCTCGTTATTTTTGAGTCACTTAATAAGACAGAGTGATGTAAGCTGTAAAAGTGAGCTTCGTGTCAATAGACGTACTTTTAATATTATTTGTGAGATGCTTAGAGATATAGGAGGTTTAAGTGGAACAAGAAATATGACTCTTCAAGAGATAGTTGCAATGTTTTTGTACACATTGGCTCATCATCAAAAGAATGGGTCAATTGGAAATCTCTTTTTAAGAAGTGGGGAAACAGTGAGTCAACAATTTAACCTATGTCTAAGGGCTATTTTGAAGTTGCATGAACACTTATTGCACAAGCCTATAGCGATATTTGATGAATGTGAAGATGAAAGGTGGCAACCTTTCAAGGTATAATTCCATTCATGTTCTTTTTTCTATTAGATTTTCATGTAATGTATGTAAATGAGTCATATCTTTGTCTTTTATAATGTAGAGTTGTCTAGGAGCGCTAGATGGTACCTATATTAACGTAAGAGTGACTTCACAAGAAAGGGGAAAATATCGAACAAGGGAAGGCACAATTGCTATGAATGTTTTAGGTGCTTGTGCACCTAATATGGAATTTATTTATGTGCTTCCGGGGTGGGAAGGATCAGCCCATGATGTACGTGTCCTTCGCAATGCTCTCTCTAGGCCAAATGGTCTTAGGGTACCTCGAGGTAAATGGAATAGGTCTTTTTTTTTGTGTGAGTATAATTATAGTTGTTAGTAAGGTATCTAGTGATTATCTTATTTTGATTTTTGTGAAGGTAATTATTATTTGGTTGATGCGGGCTACACTAATTGCGATGGATTTCTCGCTCCATATAGGGGGCAACGATATCACCTTAAAGAGTGGACAGATAAACAACCTGAAAGTGCCGAGGAATATTTTAATATGAAACATGCTAGGGCAAGAAATGTGGTAGAGAGGTGTTTTGGTTTACTTAAAGGGAGATGGAGCATACTTAGGAGTCCCTCGTTTTTTCCTATACGCACCCAAGGTCGTATCGTGATGGCTTGTTGTTTACTACATAACTTAATTAGAAGAGTCATGCTTACTGATGATATAGAGGAAGAAGAGTTGAGTGAAGATTCCGATGATGATTTTGATGATGAACCTGAATATATTACAAGTGTTGCAACTTCAGATCAGTGGACCAATTTTAGAAACACACTAGCACAAGATATGTTTAATGGGTGGAGGGCAAGAGGTAGAAGAGTTTAGCAGTCAAGATCCTCGGTGTAGTGGGTTCAAATTACAAGATGTAACTTGATTTACTCTTTAGTGCTAAGACCAAACTGTTATACTCCTGTAACTTGATTTACATACTTTTTTTGGTGATATGTTAAATTTACTTACTTTTTTAGTGATATGTTTAATTTACTTACTTTTTTCTAGTACACCATATGATACCTATACTCTTGCACTCATTGTCTTGATATATGTAAATTTTCTCCTTGAAGTTGTATATGATGGGAGAAGAGGGAAGCAATCGAGGAAGAGGTAAGAATAAGCGTTTTTGGACCTTTGAGGAAGATACGGTGCTCATAAAATATTTACATGAGTTATCTATCGATCCTAAATGGAAAAGTGAAAGTGGCTTCAAGAGTGGTTACATGAATAAGTTGGAAGAAATGATAAAATATGTGCTACCTAATTGTGGCTTGAAAGCTGATCCACACATTGAGTCAAGGATTAAGCATTGGACAGAGAAATATAGTGCAATGGCAGAGATGTTATCTACTTCTGGATTTGGATGGGATTCGGACAAAAAAATGTTGCAAGTAGAGAAAACTGTATTTGATGAATGGGCTAAGGTAAGTAAGCTTTTTAATGTTCTTCATTTTTTATGATTTGAGTAGTTATTAAATTCATTTCAATAATGCTATTGTTATTAAGTTTGTATTTAGAGAGGTGGCTGATGTTAGGCTGAGAATAATTAGCAGGAAATGAATTAGTGAATATGAAGTTGACATAGCTGATTTAAGTAAGATTGCTAGCTTAGTACTAGTATAAATCTGCTCTAAAGGTGAGTATGATGAGAAGCAGATATATTAGCTTATTTTTATTTTATTTTTATGTAACATGGATTTTGAGGCTTTGAGCTTATATTTCTGTAAGGGAATAATCTAAAAAAGGTAGGGGAGGAGCAGAGAGTAGAATTTCAAATTCGGATAAACGAGTTAGGTTCATGTTTGAATGATTTACTTTATTTTATTGTTTTTATGAATGCTGTTTATCTGGAATAGAGTCTTATCTAAGCATGTATTGCTCTGGCTGAGTATGCTGATCTGAGTATGCTGAGTATGTTGTTTATTACATTGCAGGCTCACAAGAAAGCAAAGGGGTTGTATGGAGTACCCTTTCCTCATTATGAGACACTTGCTGAAATCTATGCAAAAGATAAAGCAACCGGAGAAGTTAGTGAATCATTTGTTGGAGCTATTGATAACTTGAATGTTGAGATTGCAAATCAGTCTATGACAATACAGAGTGACGAAGACGGTTATATAGATTCTCCCACTCATTCTACCCATTCCACTCAACCAACAACTCAATCCCATAAGCGGCCAATGAAGAAAGAGGATGATAATACTCCTTCCAAAAAAGCAAAGATGAAAGAAATGAAGGGAAAAGGAAAGACACATCAAAGCAAAGATGCTAATGAATTAGTAGCTTCTCTTCATAATACATCTAATACTTTTGGGAAAATTTTCGAGGACATAAATGCAAATCTTGGAACTATAGCAAATTCATGGTCCAAAGCCGAAGAAAGGGAGCAAAAAATGGATGATGAAGTGAATAAGGTGTTAGAAGAAGTTATGAAATTGGATGGTGTTTCTCCTTCGGAATCTTTAGAGGTGGCAACAATTCTCATGGCTGAAAAACATAAGCTTCGAATCTTTTTTTCAAGCTCCAACTAACTTGAAGAAACAATATGTTTTAGATCTCCTTAAGAAAAAGTAGGTGGGAGTATTGCTAATCATCTACAATGTATGGCCTCTGAAACTTTAATTAAGGCTTATTTTGTTCTTGAATTTCAGAATTTTGTAGCATACATTTGTTTGGTTTCCTACAAAAAGTACTTGTTATGCTATGATATAATCAGTTTAATATTATAGCTAACTTATTTTTATGGTATTTTAATAATGGTATGTAAGTTGATCAAGTTCTGTTGTCTGGTTTCTGAAGTTGGTCCTGCTGTGGGTGGTTTATTTTGCTTTAGCTTTGTGTGTTGCTGTGATCTGATGCAGGTTTTGAGCAGGAGCAGTTAGTCTGCTGCTGCTGCTCCATTGTTGGTGTGTTTTTGGGTTACTGTTCTGTTGTCCTGGCTTTGCAGCTGGTCTGCTGTGGGTCTATACAGGCAGATGCTGGAATGTTGTTTCCTGCTGCAATTGCTGGTGTGTAGCTGCTGATCGTTCGGTTTCTGTACAGTTGGTGGCTGTTTCTGGCCTGCTGTTTTTTTGGTCTGGTGTTTATGTGTTCTCAGGCTGCTGGTGTCTTTGGCTGAGTTCTAGTTTTGATTTTGTTATTACTTGTGTCTGTTTTTTGTGTTGCTGGGCTTATGTTTGTTACTTGTTGTAATTCTTTCATTCTTTGTTAATAATATTTGCTTAATTCCCAAAAGATAAAAAAAAAAAAAAAAAAAAAAAAAAAAAACTTGATCAAGTAAAATTTCTCATATATTAAATAGCAAAAACTTCCTATTATAAGTAGTTTCATTTTCAAATGATTCCTTTCCATTAGGTAGACCAAACAAGAACAAAGGGAGTAAAATTTAATTGATTCCTTTCCATAGTTAAACCAAACAAATGTAAAGGTAATAGCTAAATGATTCCTTTCCCCCCTCTTATTTGTTTCCTTTCCACTCCGTTTCCATTATCCGAACCAAACGCCACCTTAGAGTGAAAAACTTTGAGGTTTTAAAGTATTTATACTCCCCTTTTAAAACAAAAACTCATAATTACAAGACTGCCATTACTAAATCCTACGCCCCCTTAACTTCTTCCTTTGAGGCCAACTTGTTAGGCTTTTAAGTATCCTCAATTTCCCAACAAGTTGATCCAACTATTTAAATAAAGATGAACCAATTTAAAACACTTTTATTGACTCAATTAATGACTCATATTATTTTATACACACTTACATAATATTTAAATAATTAATTTCTTTTTTAAATGAAATGAGTCATTTTGATTTAAAAAAATAAATAAAAATAAATAATTTATATATATATATATATTATAAAAATTACGGAGTATTACAAAGCTTGAATGGATTGGTATGCATTCTCATACTTGGGTGGTATGGATTTTATATCCCATACCAATCTAAAGTTGTTTGGTTTAACCATGGAATGGATTTTCATACTTGAGTGGTAGTATGGATTATAAATCATTAGGGGGAGGTGGTTATGAGATTTGTTGATGATAATGGTGCTCAGGTCAGCAAACACAACCAGGGCCGTCTTATACAAATTAAGGGCCTTGTGCTATTTTTATTACAAAGTTTTAGAGTTTAACATATCGATATCAATGAAAATAAAATGATATAAATATTTAAGGTGTTTTTTTTTATAAAGAATTTATGGTATACGATATATTATGTAACTTTGTAAGTGATATACATATAAGACGTAAATAATGTTGTATGTTTTTATTGTAAGGAAAAAAACCATCTAGTTAATAAATTTATTTCGGGTAAATTGTACAAAAATGGCAAAAGATACATGATAATATTTTTATACTTTATCAAATAAAAGGAGTGAAACTATGACGGTAGGAATGTTTTCACAAAACCTTAGTAAGGGGGGGGGGGGAGGAGAGAGAAAAACCATTAGCAAAAAAGACAAAAAAAAATCGTCTTACTTAAGGTTCGAACCTCAAACCAACTGTAACTAATTGCCTATGTTTGTCTATTCTACCACCAAGCCATCAACGAGGTCTATTGTACATATACTACAAGTTTGTTAATTATACTATTATTTCAATTTGGGGCCCTTAAAATAAATTGGGCCATTGAGGCCCTGTGCTGAGGACCAGCTTGCACAGGGCCTTAGCCAGCCTTGGCTGTAGCTCGAGTATAGTAAACCTGCACCATCTCACAAGTCTACAGCAGCTCGAGGATCAAAGGCTTTCAACAGCAACTCAAGCTATTAGAAGTTGCTAGAAGATTCTAGATTATTCTAGTAGGAGTTTGTTATTTACTCTCCTTGTCATTTGTTGATGTGGCATAGGTTATTAGAAATTTGTTATTTCTATAACAAACTATGATTCTTTTAAGTCTGTATTTCTATAAATATAGGATACAATTCTCCCTTGTATTATTTCATTCAATTCTTACAAAATTAATAAAAATTGCCTGAAAGTTTATTTAGCTTTGTTTCTTCCTCAAGCTTTCTCTTAGCATTTCAATGGATTCTCTGATTTCATCATGGTATCAGAGCAGGTTTCCTGCCTTTTGCTGCCAATTTTCCGCAAATTCAGATCAATTTGATTCAGATCACTAGTTTTGTAAGTACTCGTTTGTTTCAGATTACGAGTCAGAATTTGATCAAAATAATCAAATCAATCTGAATAATCGATTCATTCCTGATTTTGCCTGAAGAATTACTACTTGTTCTTCGAATTATTGCTAGAAATCTTGATCTAAGTTTTGCTAGAACTTCTGATTTGTGTTGCATACTTTGAGTAATTCATGAAAATTGTTGATAATCTTGAGAAATATGGATGGAGAATCAAACAATAGAAATCAGAACAATTATGTTCTTCCTTTGAACCAGAATCCTGCTAGCATTTACTACATTCATCCTTCAGATGCTAACTCGATTCAGTTAGTATCATTCAAGTTTAATGGTGATGGATTCACAAGCTGAAAGAGAGCTATGTTGTTGACTCTTTCTGCTAAGAATAAGCTAGGTTTGTTAATGGAACCTATGCTAAACCTGCTGATATTCTGAGTAATGAATATAAGGCCTGGGAGAGATGTAATAATCTTGTGTGTTCTTGGATTTTGTTTAATCTAGAAGAGACTATAGCTAGCAATGTGATGTTTATGAAGTCTTATAGAGAGACTTGGCTAGATCTTGAGGAAAGATATGGATAAACCTCACTTGCTCAGATTTACTCACTACTTGAGCAAAAATTGGCTGAAATCAGTTAAGGTTCTCAGTCCATTGCTTAGTTTTTCACCGAAATCAAGTCAGTTTGGGATGTTGTTGATGAAGCTCAACAATTAGCTTACTGCACATGCAACAATTGTACTTGCAATCTTACCAAGAGAGTTTTTGAACTACACCAACAAAAGATGGTTATACAGTTCATGATGAAGCTTTCTGATCAATATGCTGCAATTAGAGGAAAATTACTTGTTGGGCCCCCTATACTCCCAAGAAGCCCAAAACACGTAAGGCACGACCAAGGAACCAAGAGCAAGCCAAATAAAGAGGAAATCCATTCAAACGACTTGATTGGCACAAGTATGGCAAAAGGATCAATTAGTCAATCAGCTGGGAAAGCATACCAAAAATATACAAGGAGCGCAAGGAAAGAAGAATAATCAACAAAGATCTTCCCTTTTTGAATACATTCCGAAAATACTTGTAAACCCTAGTATTCCCTAGGTATAAATAGCTAAGAACGTATGTAATAACCTCATTCATACATTAATACTCGAAAATATATGCAAGTTACTTATGAATTCTATGTCCATTCTGATCAAGGAGCCCATCCTTACTCATTATTGTTTCTTTAACTCTTACTTCATTATTTAGTTTACTCGTTCTTTATTGTGTTATTGTTCTTGGTTATTGTGATTGTTATTTGCAAGATTGATTATTATTACCCCTAAACCTTAAGCAAATTTCTAGAACTACCCTACTAAGATTTTCCCTAAACATTCCTTATGATGCAGACTTTGCCAAAAGTTACAAAAGCATACAGGATGTTTGCTCAAGAAGAGAAACACAAAGAAATTTCTGGAATAAATGTTCAACATGAATCAATGGAATTTGCAGTAGAAAAGAGGTACTACAATGATTTTGGAAAGAATAGATTCAGACCACAAGGTGGAGGCAACTTCCAGAAACAAAACAATTTTCTGAAGAATAACAACAACAACAACAACAATTTCAGGAACTTATTGAATGCTGGCCCTAGGGTTGACAAACCTGAATAAATACTATTGCACACACTGTGAGATACCAAGGCATAGCATAGACAGATGCTTCAAGCTGAATGGCTTTCCACTAGGATTCAAAGGATTTAAAGAGAAGAGAGTAGCAACATTCTCTTGTTCTGAAGCTGGTGACATGGAGATTGATGATAATCATTCAAGAACTGTTTCAGGTGAACAATACAAATAGTTCATGAGCTATCTGAGTGCTTAGGAGCAGAATATTGATGGTGCTAGTGCTAATGGTGAAATACCTGGACATGCTATGATAGCAGGTACATGCTCTTTCTGCTTCCTTTCTTGCTCTAAAACTAAATGGTTGTTAGACAGTGGTGCAACTGATCATTTTTCCTCTGACATTAATTTTTTCTCTGAATATAAAACTGTTAATCATTCTGGTGCTTACATCACAATACCAGATGGTAGCAAAATACAAGTTAAGCATATTGGTAGTGTGAACTTGACTAATCAAATTACTTTGCATAATCTGCTTCATGTTCCAGATTTTTAGTACAACTTAATCTTTTTTCATAAGCTATGCAAAGATATGAAGTGTAAGTTGCATTTTACTCATGAAAAATGCTTTGTTCAATCACAGAAAAGGAAGTCGATTCTTCTTGGTAGTTTGAAGTCTGGTCTGTACAATGTTGAAGATCAGAAGATTTTTTATCAGAATTTAGGAGAAGTCAATAAACATCATTGTATTGCTTTTTGTCTAGCTGTAGTAGATGCTGCTAAGCTTTTACATCTTAGGCTTGGTCTTCTTCCTTTTAGTAAATTGAAAGTAGTTTTCCCTAAGTGTGAAATAAGACCTTGCCTGGACAACACAATTTGTCAAGTTTGTCCCAAGGCAAAAC